CTCCCTGTAGCGTGGCCGAGCCCTGTATAGTCCGCGGGTACAGGGAGCTTTTGTTTCCTGTACCCGGCCGGACTAACAGGAAGTGCACACACTCTGTGCCCTTAGAAGCCATCACAGCCATGTCTACTAATGGCATGGCTGTGATTGGCCAGTGCAGCATGTGACCCAGCCTCTTTATATAAGCTGGAGTCGCATAGCGCCGCACGCACAATATGAGCTCTTATTAGTGTAGGGAGAGGATGCTGCAGCTGTTAGGGAAAGCTTAGGAAAGAATTCTGCAAACTAGTACATTAGTGGGGTGCACTTCATATCTGAGAGTCAAATAGAACCGTCAAATACAGCGCTTACAGCGCAATTGTAAAAATTCTAATTGTTTTGGTGCTAAACTGCTAAATAGTAAATTTGGGGCGTGCTCTTCATATCTGAGAGTCAAATAGAAACGTCAAATACTGCGCTTACAGCGCAATTGTAAAATTTCTAATTGTTTTGGTGCTAAACTGCTAAATAGTAAATATGAGGCGTGCTCTTCATATCTGAGAGTCAAATAGAAGCGTCAAATACTGCGCTTACAGCGCAGTTTAAAACATTCATATTTTTGGGGGCTTATCTGCTAAATATTACATTTGGGGCGTGCACTTCATATCTGAGAGTCAAGTAGAAGCGTCAAATACTGCGCTTACAGCGCAATTGTAAAAATTCTAATTGTTTTGGTGCTAAACTGCTAAATAGTAAATGTGGGGCGTGCTCTTCATATCTGAGAGTCAAATAGAAGCGTCAAATACTGCGCTTACAACGCAATTGTAAAAATTTCTTATTTTTTGGGTGCTAAACTGCTAAATAGTAAATTTGCGGCGTGCTCTTCATATATGAGAGTCAAATAGAAGCGTCAAATACTGCGCTTACAACGCAATTGTAAAAATTTAAATTCTTTTGGTGCTAAACTGCTAAATAGTAAATGTGGGGCATGCTGTTAATATCTGAGAATCAAATAGAAGTGTCAAATACTGCGCTTACAGCAAAGTTTGAAACATTCATATTTTTTGGGGGGCTAATCTGCTAAATATTACATTTGGGGCTTGCACTTCATATCTGAGAGTCAAATAGAAGCGTCAAATACTGCGCTTATAGCACAGTTTGAAACATTCATATTTTTGGATGGCTAATCTGCTAAATATTACATTTGAGGTGTGCACTTCATATCTGAGAGTCAAATAGAAGCGTCAAATACTGCGGTTACAGCGCAGTTGTAAACATTCTAATTGTTTTGGTGTTAAACTGCTAAATTTGGGGCCTGCACTTAATATCTGGTGTATGTGTGCAACACTGGCTAGTTACCGCTTCTCAAGAAAGTCTAAAGACTTTTTTAAAAAAGTGAAAAATAAGTGTTATTGTGATCGCTTCATATACAGAAGCATTAATATACATTTTAGATTGTGTAAAGACACAACTACAAAGTTAAAAACTAAACACCAAACCAACGTGCCAGACAATCTACCTGTGCATGGCTAGTGTGATAAAATTAGTCCTAAAAATTTAATAACCTACAGAAGATGGGCGAGAATTTTTTTGGGCAAATGGAACTTTGATTCAAATTTACTACATCAGCATAAGAGGGAGCAGGATGCAAAAGCGGAGCGGCTGTCCCCTAGCGCTCGTTGGCATGTATTATCTCTAGAATTCCCACAGTTATCCAAGTAACAGATGGAGTGATGAAATCAACCATAACAGATTTAACGAGCCATTCGCTGTTTCACAGTCAGGGTGGTAGTCCGGTGACCAGGACCCAGACACTGTCTGGGCGGTGGTCGGACGACCGGGACCCAGTATGCCTGATGTTGAAGTTAGGAGTCACAGAGTGGAATGGATTAGCAGGGTCTGGTACAGGGTATCTGATGCAATATATTTGATGTCTGTACAAATCAGTGTCACCTAGATTGTTTGCTCTATTTTTTTGTTTATCCCTATTTCTACAACGGGGGAGTGAATACACCAAAGAAGGTTTTCTGGTAAACCTGAAATTCCAGATCTACCTGTTGTTCTGAGCCGATATCGAAAAAGGCTCAGAAAAATGTGAGTGTGTGGACATTTTGAATTTCTTTCTTTCTTCTTTTCAATGTATTTGTCCATCGTTAGTAATACAATATTACACTATTACATTCTCTCTCTGTTTGTTTTCCCTATATACATATGAGAAAAAACCCTATATACAACTAAGGGGTAAGTGTAATTTATCCAAGCGCTGCACCTTGGGTCTCTGAGTGTTAGGTGATGGGATTATCACCTAAACCTAGGAGTCCGTTTTTGTGTTCACATTTGTAATAAAGTGGAGTATTGGGAAATCCACTAACGGTGTTCTAGCTGCTAGTACTAGATTTATTTTTTCTGCCATAAACTGTGAAGCACCTTCTATACACTGGTTTTAGATTTGCACGCCCCCTGGTGTTAAGCACCAGCATTTGTGCCGCCACATACCAGGACCCTAATGCAGCTTCAGCGAGCAGCAGGCGATAGTGGAATTTCAGCTGCAGCATGCACGGGTCAGTCGCTCTGCACCAGACTTGCCCTCCAATTGATCAGAGTTAAAGGATTTCAAGTGGACTCATTACAATTACAGGGCCTGTAAAGAGTTCTGTATTGTTATTTGTCGTCACTACCTTCCCGCGTCGGCTGCTGCCTTCCTTGCATGTGGTAGCCGTTTCTCAGGCTCCCTCTCCGCAATCGAACCCTGATTCCCCATTACACGTGGTCACCATGGTAGACAAATGTAATAAGTGGGGGGATGTGATTAACAGCCAAACTGTATGCCAATGAAGTGTTATTGTGTTCTAATACAGGGATTCAAGCCCCCATTCTACCCTTAGGCAATAATGGAGTCCTCTGTGAAGCACATGGCACCAGGCAAAATCAGTTGGGTTGTTGATAAACTCCTCCTCCATTCCCTTCCAATGCAATTCCCCTTCCCCCAGGAGGCACTCTGGTTCTGTTACATCCTAAGGGATTGACTGAGGGAGGTGTGTCCAGCAGAAGGAGGGGCTAACCTGTTTAAAGCCCTGTGAATAGCACATTCTCTCTCTCTTTGAATTACCTCTCTTCACCTTCTCTCTCCTCTCTCCCCTCTCCCCACTGTACACACCCTCTCTCTCTTACTCTCAGCTGCTGATCAATGGAGTGGTAACTGTATCACATGTCTATGTCTGTTTTACTATGTTAATTTAGCCTACTTTCCATTCAGTCAATGATTAGTTTTAGTAGCAACATATACTAGCCTATTTATTACAAATGTATATGTATTGTTTATTTGTTTGATTAAGCCTTTATTAATAAATATTATTGAATTGCCGAAAGCAAGGAGTGTGGACTCTGACTTTACACTCGGTTTTTAAGTTATTATTTTTAGTTATTAATGTTATTATTAATTCCAAGTTTATTCCAACTTGCGAGTTAAACGTTTATTACAACAAAGAAAGTGGAATCGAAAGTTGATATGGATGACATACGAATGCGTCATTGCCTTGTCATTGGGGAGCTCATTGAAAAAGTGCTCTAGCATGATGAGCTGGGTGATCTCCTCCGGGAAATTGGCTTGATGGGAGTTGAGCCAGTTCTGGGTTGCCATTGTGATGCGGCATGCCCACTCCGCATGGGAGTCCTTCTCCCCTTTCCGGGTCTCCCTAAACTTTCGGCTGTATTGCTCGGGGGTGACCGCATACCGGGCCAGGAGGATTTGTGTAATAAAGGGATAGTCTCTGATCTGCTCTTCTGGTACAGCCCGGTAAATATCCGCTGCCTTCCCCACTAGTTTGCTGGCCAGGATGGTGACCCAGTCGCTGTGGTCCACTTCTTGAACTAGACACTGGCGCTCAAAATCTTGTAAAAAGTCATCGATGCCTTCTTCTGCTTCCTTGAAGTCTTTGAAGGCATTGAATGGTGGCATGTGGGCCAGGGTGGTTGTGCTACCCTGCGCCCTCTGCTCCCTTCTTGCTTCATCTGGGTTCATGGAGGTCGTCCTCTGTCTATTGTCAAGGACATAGGCTTGCACCTCCAAAAAGGTCCTGCTGACAATCTCCTCTGAGGGTGGCTCTCGGTAATATGCCAGGCGCCGGTCCACCTCCTTGAGCACTTCCTCCTCATCTCCTGCCCCTGGCTGGGGTTCGTTGCCTCACTGCGTGCCTGGTCGTCCTCCATGAGCACAGCAGTCAATTTGGCCTTGTTACGCCCACCAGGCGTTATTCCTCTGGCTTCACACAAATCCTGCAGTGTAGGTCGCTTTAGAGCACTGTAGTCCATGGGTCTGTTGGTGTCACATCCTGTTCCTCCCTGCAGATCATTCTGGCAATGGCTTCTGGTATCCAGTACTCTTTTTGCTGTCCTTGCTTGGTTTTTCTGGTTTTCTGGTCTATGTCTGGTTTTCTTTGTTGCTGGGTTTCTGAGTTCATTCTTATATTCTGTCCCTGGATTTCCCAGTCTCCTTTTGTTTCAGCCTGGACCTGCAGCAGTGTTTCTAGTCTCTGCCCTTTCTTGCAGGTAAGTGCTATTGTGGTATAGTGTGGTTGTTTTAGCATATATTAGGCAGTGTAGGACCTGCCAGATATGGGGTACATTGGCATTGTTGGCAGGCTTGTGCAATGTATGATCATATAATGTGACTAAATCCCCATACTTTTCATAATTAGTGCTTAGCTATGTTTCCTCTTGTTTTACCTTGTATCTCTTGTCTTGTTTTACTTTGTTTTGTAATCCCAATCCATGTACGGTCCTGTTCAGTCATACCCATGTTATGTTCTTGTTTTCCTCATGTCTTGTGTACATGTTCTAGGTTATGCTTTCTGTCCTGCTCTGGTTCTGGGTTCTCCTAGTTTTGTCTTGTTCTCATGCATGGTGCCTATCTCTAGTCTTGCTCTGTTCTCCTAGTTTTGTCTTGTTTGCATGCATGGTGCCATTCTCTAGTCTTGCCTTGCTTCAGTACTGGATACACTCCTGCTGCAGAGCCTCCCTATTCAGCTTCTGGGAGGTCTGCTTAATTACCTGCTCCTAGTTCCTGGGATCCACATAAGCAGGGTTCTGGTATGTGGCTGCACAAACGCTGGTGCTCAACACCAGGGGGCGTGCGGTTACCCTGCACCAGACCCTGCTAATCCACCTCCACACTGTGACTCCTACTCTGAACATCAGGTATACATGGGTCCCGGTCCACGCACCGCTGCCCGGACAGTGTCTGGTTCCCAGGCACCGGACCGCCACCCGTGACAGTTGGCAGGGACATGGGATCCCGCCGCTTGCCACCAATTGAAGCGGGACCTGGGTAACCGATGGTTAGCCCCTTTGATTAGCATAGGTCAGACCCATTACCCCATGAACTGGATGGGACACAGTTCCAGGATACAAAGTTTGACAATCTTTATTTGGGTACACAGCTTTGCCTCCTGTTGCCTCCTCCTCCTACTCCGCTTCTTCCTCCTACCTCGCTTCTTCCTCCTCCTCCTCTGCCACATCCTCATCCGGTCAGCGTAACACCTTCACCAGCAACTTCAGCACAGCCAGGGGGAAATGACAGCAGGCTGTTTTAAAACTGATATGCTTGGGGGGAAAACCCCACACCGCGCAGGAGCTGTGGACGGGCATGGAACAACAGACCGATGAGTGGTTGTTACCACTGAGCCTCAAGCCCAGCCTGGTGGTGTGCGATAATTGACGAAATCTCGTAGCAGCTCTGGGCCTAGCCAGTTTGACACACATCCCTTGCCTGGCACATGTGCTGAATTTGGTGGTGCAGAAATTCCTCAAAAACTACCCAGAGTTGCTGCAGAAAGTGTGGGCCGTCTGTGCGCGCTTTCGGCGTTCTCACCCTGCCCCTGCTTGCCTGTCTGCGCTGCAACATAACTTCGGCCTTCCCTCTTACCGCCTCATGAGACAGCAGGCGATAGTGGAGTTTCAGCTGCAGCACGCACGGGTCAGTCGCTCTGCGGAACAGAGTTTTCTTTTTTTATATGTCCCAATATTGTGTGGGCTACCCCAATTAAAAAAAAAAAAACAAACAAACAAATAAAAAACAGTGTTGGCTACCTCCTCCTCCACCGCTGCTTCCACCTACACCGCCACGGTGTATACCCAGATATATCAGAGCTGCTGCAGAAAGTGTGGGCTGTCTGTGCGTGCTTTCAGCGTTCTCACCCTGCTACTGGTCGCCTGTTTGTGCTGCAGCGTAACTTTGGCCTTCAAGCTCACTGACTCATGAGACTGTGCGAGCAGCAGCAGGCTATAGTGGAGTTTGAGCTGCAGCACGCACGGGTCAGTCACTCTGCGGAACAGAGTTTCCTTTTTTTTATATGTCCCAATATTTTGGGGGCTACCCCAATGAAAAAAAACAACAAAACAAATAAAAACAGTGTTGACTACCTCCTCCTCCTCCACCGCTGCTTCCACCTACACCACCACAGTCACCGCCTCCTCAACCTATGGGTCACTTAGTATAAACTATGTACACAATAGTAGAGGCTTGTGAAGGCCTTTTCTCCATACATCAGGAATTGAGCTCAGTTTGAACAATGAAAGAGAATACCCTGCACTCCAACCCTCTCTCAAATGGATAATCCTGGTGATCCTCCTGACAGTCATGCTTTAGATTTTGATTTATGATCTTCCAAAGGTAAAATCAAAGATTCAATCTAGTGCTATTTTATGGCTCAGCTGTATTTTTAATTTTTAGGTATTTTATGTTATTTTAAGTTATTTCCCTATCCACATTTGTTTGCAAGGCACTTGTCCTACACTTACCCCCATTTTACTTCCTTTTGCAGCCCTCTAGCCCTTTCCAGGACTTTTTTAGAGCCATTTTTGTGGCCAAAAGTTCGATCACGAACCCAGACTTTTTTTCGCCAGACCCGAACATCCAGGTGTCCGCTCAACTCTACTCAGAATACATCAATATTCTGTTGCAACCTTCTGTTCAAACGATTAACTCCTTTTTAAAATATCTCAATAATTTGAAATGGCAACCAAACTTTTATTTAGTTACATGTAATGTTCAATCCTTAAACACTAGCATACAACATGAGATCGGTTGCCAATCTGTATGTAACATTTTAATGCAAGTGAATATTCTCCCCCAAATCCAAATAGATTTTATTATTGAAGGCAATGGCAACATATTGTAAAATAATGTATTGTGGTTTTATGGCTTGTTTTGCTTTCAAAAACAAGCCACTGACATAGGCACTCATTTTGTGCCAAGTTTTTCCAGTTTTTGTCACGGCAGATTGGGAAACAAATGGTATTTGTGTGAATCATACATGGTGTGATAACCTAATCTGTTTTTCTTTTTTCTTCTGTATATTTTTAATTTTTGTTTTTCCTTTGAGATAGTCATGACAATCATCTTATTGTGAGGAGAAAGAGACAGATAAGGGCTGCGAAGGGGCAAAAGAAACAAACAGGGGCTAGGGAAGATACAATAGAGACAAACAGTGGCTTGGGGATACACTCAGAGGGGCTGAGAGGAGACAAAGAGACACAGAGTCTGGGGGGGCGAAAGAGACACCGAGGGCCTTGGGGGGGAAGATACATGGTGCTGGGGGAAGAGTCAAACAGAGGGGTAAGGAATGGGAGAAAGAGAAATGCAAAAGGCACTGAGTGGAGAAAGAATTACACAGAGGGGCTGGGGGACCAAAAGACATAGAGGGGCTGGGGAATGGGCAAAAGAGACAGACATGGGCTTGGGGGAGACAAATAGACACAGAGGGGCAGGCAAGAGAAATAGACAACGTGCTGTGGGAAAGAGAAACACAGATGGTCAGGGAGGGGAAAAAGAGACACACGCAAGTGGCGGGGGGAGAAAGAGACATACAGATGAGTAAAAAGAGACATAGACGGTTGAGGAAATGAAGAACG